AAGTTTCAGATAAACATGGTGAAAATATAATTGAATAGTTTTAGAATTCATTTATGCATCAGCACGAAAACAATACTTGCTTCTATTTACTATTTAGCTCTCCAAAGTCTTGAATAGAAGAGAATTTGTATATAAATCAACTACTCATTTACTTTGTCAGAGATCGAAACTTTACAAATAAAAATATTATGTGTAATCACCTGCTCCCAAGAATTGGCGATACATTTCATTTCAAATGGATTTTTGGAAGTGATTATGATTTATTAACTATCACTATATTTTTAATATACAGAACATTAAATGATCGTTTATGTTCTTACAGTCACAAGCAGGAAAATTAATGGTGGTTGAATTATTACTCGTCGATATATTTGTCAACCTTCATAAAAAAGGTATCTACAATCATTTCTCGTTTCGGATTCTTAGTTAAAAAGAAACGTTGAAACTTTCCACGCCAAAGTAAATTGAACTTCTCAAATTCGAAGGCAGAACTGACTAAATGTGCATTCCAAAGTAATTTTGTTCTAATAGTATTGATAATAAATATTTAAATCGTAGCTTGGAATTCAAATCATTGCCTGGCATGGAAAGTTTCAACATGAGCGATCACAGGGTAGAAGAGTGAATTTATATGAAGTTATGCTGTGTGTAGTTTCTATCCGTCTATATATCTATATATCTAAATGTTCGTTTTCTATCTGTCCATAATTATTGGACATTATATTGTTTTGTATACATGTACGAACTCTGAATTTGATGTAGGGTTTTTCGTTATTTAGACGATTGAATCTTCTCAATAGAACTACAAAAATTTTTTAAACAGTTTCATTTACCACACCATCACATCACCGTGTCACGAGATCATTCAGACAATAGGAGAAGTGGCGTTTGAACTTCATCTGCATAAAAGACGAGTCAGAAGATTCGATTATTTCTCAAGAATCTTGTAAAATTTCTTGATTTATTACAATAAATTCCGAAAAATAGTTTGTGCTATAAATCATATTTATATATATTTTCGTTCACTCATTTGGAAACGATACGATGGTTTCTCCGTTCAACGAAAGAAATGTTTTCGTTTTGTCTGAGGCCAGCGATACAAGTTGCAAGGCCCTTTTTTATATTGTTACGAATACATTTATTTCCTTTCAGGAATTCACGTTGTCATTTGACTTATACAATGGAAAAAATAATACCACTAGTTCTGTCTTTATATATATATATATATATATATATATATATATATATATATATATATATATATATATATATATATAGAGAGAGAGAGAGAGAGAGAGAGAGAGAGAGATGAGCAGTTCCTCTCGAAATAAAAACATTATTCTACTTTCAAGTTATTAGACGAACCACTTTTTCTGTACGTAGGCTGTACGTACGTAATTTTTGTGCTTCATTACACTTACATCCTCTTTTTTATTAGTTGACATTACCATCGAAGTCCGTCTAGTGACGGGTAGGTCAGTTTCAATAATGCGTACAATTATTATAATTGCAAGTGCGCAGAAACCAATATTTTCTGTTTTAGACCTTTTCTTAATATTTCTTAGAATCATATTCTTTCTATAGTAATTTTTCATACATCATTACTATTGGTAATGGGATGATTGATACTTTCAATCAGAGTTCTCGTCCTTCTTCCTTTAAAAACTCAAATTACTGTTCCTTAAAGCGAAAAGGGTCTTACTGAGGTTCACTATTAGTATTACAAAATGTAATGCCTGCATGAAGATGAACTTCAACTTCAAAATTAGAGGTTTATTCGCAAGTGAAGACAGGAAAAAAAAGTTAACCAAGGTCGCAAAAGAGCTAGGATACCTCTCTGAGATGCTAACGAACTCAGAGGTGTTCGTAAGTCCAAATATTCCACAAAAACTTCTCACACTTACTTGTAAGGTGTGCATCCTGTAGAAATCTAAGCTAATTAAAATTTAAATGCCTGACGTTAGGAAAATGAGATTCAGCATTGTTAATACGCAAAGAATTCTGAACTGCATTCTCACGCAATATACGTAATCAATTACACTCAATAAAGAAAGCTCTCGTTATTGGCCTAGAAGAAATCTGTAGAGAAATTTCATAGTTAAGTGTATTCAATTCAGTCAATCAGATTGTCAGTAAAGGTCTATATTCTAGAGCTTATTTTTTTACTTATTGAAAATTCGAGAAGGATTATCAATTGACACAAGAGTATAAATAATTGAAGTTGCTGGGCAAGGAGAATGTGATGAATAAAGCCTATTGGATAAATCGGTTAAGATGGTTCTACAATGTAGACCCTTGCTATTGCAGTGACTCTGAGAGGGAGCTCTTAGGGTCCGAGTCCCGCCGGTGGTGAAAATTGTATCTCTATCTAAATCACTGAGCCAGTTTATTCACTGTCGGGAGGAGAATTTTAGCGGTCGGGCTGGTCTGTCACTCTGGTCGATAGTTTTTCGTGGTTTCTCTGATCGACTCCAGACGAATGCCGGAGCAGAACAAACTGGCCACAGACTGCGTGCATTATTACCTTCCTCATCCTTGACCTATCCTCTTCCCTTTCACACAAACGAACATACATCACATTACTACACATACGAAGCGAAATGATCAATCAATCATCTTATTACCAATGCTTTTGATGAGTCCACTGATAATTATTTTTAAATATGTTCATTTCTAATGAGTCACGGAGGTTTCAATGTTTGCTGGACAAATCTTTGAAAAATATCTAATTGGTTGAGTTTTCAAGAAGCTGTCCCATCCTATATTGTACAAGAATACCTCGTTCTGAACAAGCGTTAAAGAACGCAATGAACTGAATACTGCTGGCGTGGAACACGTGTCGTAGAAAGCCAGAGCGGGATTCGTAGTCTCCATCTGCAGCGACCGGGAGCGAAAGAGACCCGTTGCGAATCCGGAGGAGCCCCGAAGGCCAGTTGGCATTGGGCGTCGGACCCCTTGGCGACGAACCGCGCTTGCCTTGCGGTCGCCCACGTGGGCGAGGCGGCAGAGGCGCTCATTCAGAACCGGCACAAGTTGGCCCGCGCCGACAGGCGTGGGCGCGGTGCCGCACGCGCTCAAAGGACTGATGGCAGACGCACAGTGTACACGTTGCGCGTGACCCTGGTCACAATGGCATTCCTTATTTTAAGCCTCCAAATCGTTCATATTAGACTTTTTGTTGCTTTGGAATGATGAGTTTCTACCATTGCTGCAAGAAAGAGAGTTACCTTTATTAAAATTTAGTAAATGAAAATTGAAAACTCTTTTATTTTTCATGAAAACGATTTTATGTATTCGCCAAGCAACATGAATCGAACACTTTCGACTGTAATAACTATGTCTCACGCATCTAATTTTTAGTTAATTGACTGAGGAGTTTAATTTAAGTCTGTCACTGTGTACTTTACATTTACATGCACTACAAGTACTTCCAATTTCCAAGTATATTTGGCCTCATATTAATCCTGAATTCATGAATCACAAATTTTGTTTAATTCGGTGAAAGTTTCAAAACACGTACAATTAAAATATTAATCTTCATGTTCAACATTTGATTATTACCTACCTATTTAGGATAATTCTTATAATTATGTTTTGAAAGAAAGCAATAAACATTTTTTCTGCGATGAAATGATATTCGAGATGTACTGAAATCTAAAACTTGAATGCTTTTGTTTTAGAACATTAATAACAATCTACCTTGTTGTACATTAACAGGCGAAGTACCTTGAAAACGCTATGTTCAGTTAAATGTAAATTTCTTTTACATATGTCGTAGAATGTAATCTAATTAACACCTCTTTTCCAACAACTTATTTAACTTTGCGATTGACGTAATAAACCTTGTACAATAAAGTGTTTTTCATCTTACAAAATACAAATAATTCTCTGCAGTTCTTCAAATCGGGAGGTCCGAGTGTTCGACGCCCGACTGTGGCAGGCTTTTTACTACTCGTTAGATTGGTAAATCGAATTCAGCCGTTGTTTGGAGAAAAATTTTTGCGGCCAGCTGCTCTGATTGGTACTTTCCCGAGTTTTCTCCGATCAGCATCAGTCGAGTGCTGAAGCAGTTCCCTAACAAACGGTCCACGGACTGCGCGCTATCTTTCCTTCCTCTTCCGTGTTCAATCCTCTTCCATTTCTTATACACATTTACTTCTACATGCACTACACCTAATTCATGTCGAGAGACCAGTCGGGAGCTTAGTATTAGAGCACATCCCGGCTGGAACGGTTCCCCGCTGGTGGAAGATCACTGGTTGGGAAAACCCGCAAACGTTCGTGTATGTCGGATCTCACCGTCTAGCTCGGGAAGAACACCGCCACCTCCTGTGATGAAAACATTCACCAAACATACGCGGCTAATGACCACAGTAGTAGACACACCCGGAAATATGAAATAGTCAATCAGGTAATTCTCCAGATGAAAAAATCCTAGATGAAAAATGGAAGAAAGAAGTATATTATCACCAAAAACTTGGACAACCTGTGTGACTTTCTTTCAAACAAATGGCAGACTCTGGTAATTACCATACATATTTTTTTTGCATTTTACCTTTAAGTAATATAATTATCATAATGTTTACTATGTGATAAAATTATAATAATAACAAAGTAAATTAAGAATCCAGTAAATTGCAACTAATGGAATGCTTAAAATACATTATTATCTTTAGTTTAAGTATCGTCAACATATAACGCATCAATTAGATTTAGCAGAGTTTTCAATAATGTCATAAACATCCAAAATGCAATTTTTTCAAGATTTCGAAGTACATCTCGCATATCATATTTGCAATCACCTTGCATATGCCATGTAACATCTTCTCGTTCTCTGTCAGAAATGTAGTCAACCATTATTTTGAATTCAATTACATGCCATGAATGTCTACATTTGTTTCATGGCTTCCTATTTGTCCCCTTTCTTCACATGTCAATGTTTTAGATGTGTTAGTTGTCCAACGCACCGGCCAAATGAATGTTTCGTGAGCACTGTGTAGGAAAGGGTGGAGAGGGGCGGGGGCGTTACGGGGCTGGGGCTGGGGCCGCCGGGTGACTTTCCCTTTCCGCAGCGCCCCACGCTGCGCTCCCCCTCCCCTCCCCCCTCCCCACGCCGCCGGCGCTGTTGCTCCATATCTCGCGGGGCCTACGTCGCCGGTGGGAGGGTCAGGCAGTGGCGGCGGTGCCCCACCCCTGGCCGAGGAGGGGACGGTGAGAGCCAAATGAACCAAGCTGTAAGACACTGTAAGGCAAATGATAACAGCAGCATTAGGGACGATGACAAAGTAGTGGGTGTGGCAACGATTACGTCGAATATAATATTGTTTTCAACTACAATGACGACGAACACCACGACGAAGGATTGACAAACGACAGGGTTGAGCCCCAGGTTGAGAGGCCACCTGAGTGGTGACACTGCAATTTCAGACCTGTGTAGAGTGTAGAATGTGGAGGTGGAGTTGGAGAGTGAAAAAAAAGGGATGGTAACGTGTGTAGACCAACGAGCTAGAATATACTACATAGAGTTACTGTCCGTATAGTTTCAGCGCTCTTGGTGGAAGCTCGCCGAACTAGTGACCGCCATGTTTTTTTGAAGTCAAAATATACGAGTGGAAATGTAACCGTCCGTAACCAGCGCCAAACATAATGCTAGAATACTTTGTTTCCCAGAGAGCGCTGCTTGGACTGCAGAAAACATAGCTTCAATTTTTGCTTCAAAGATGGAGGCGTTTCAGCTACTCTATGTAGTATATTCTAGTTCGTTGGTGTAGACGTAGTGTGCAGGGGAGGAGGATCGGAGAGGGACGGTGACGGCGACGGCGCTGGCGGCAGCAGTGAAAGTGGGCGGTGCCAGCCCCGACGTGGGTCGCAGACCTCCGAGGTCTCGTTTCCTCGCCGCCGCCCGTCACCTTCAGGTCGATCGCTACTTGTCGCACCGCACGTACGCGTGTTCAAGTTCTCAAATGTGGTTAAATGAAGCTGAAGGTGGATGATAATCTACTTCATCATAGAATTGTTACAGGTAATTCTGTGAAAAGCAAAATAATAATGTTATGGAAATAATTTTCTAAAAGTAGTCAATAGTAAATAAATATTTCTTTAATCTCTCGGGAGACTTTAGTGTAATATTTGCTCCTTTCCATGATATGTTCCATGTGATACATTATTTGAATATTTTCCTTTGACAGATGAAAAACTGGATGATCTCACGAATAGTTAAATATACTGCTCCCATATCGTTCGTATCGATCATCCTCATAAGCAAGCGCATGATCGTAGTTACTGCTTGGCTCACTGTTGCGTGTGGCGTTATTGGTGATGGGAGTTGAGATAAAGAACCAGGGCCGTTATTATGCCTAATCACGTGAACTAATTAAACATCGTGTTGATCGTGGTTGGCTGAGCACGACATCTGGGAAATCTACATTCGTTCTTCGTTGTATATTCATTTCTAGATAGTCTCGCTGCACACAAGTTCATGGAAAAATTAATCGTCCATCCGTCTATCACTTCATTATTTTCATATAGTTTTAATTCTCAGTTTTGAAATTGCATTCTAAACAATGTAGTCATTATAATCTAGTTTTCACCGTTAACGTCATATCTTACAGATAATTATTTCTACAGTATTTTTGCAGTAGCAATCCGCATTTTTCGTACTTATGGAACTCCTTACACGCGATGCTGAATTGAATTAATATCATGTAAAATAAGTCGTATTTTTATCACGAAGCTTCGTAAATAAAACTAGTGATGCTACAAAACGGATAAAAAGTTTCTCGTACTTGTATGATTCCTATTTTGTTGAATCAGATTCACGCTTAAGCAGTTATCCAGACCACAATCATAGTGTTTACGTAGTTGGGATTACCTGCCTCGAGCTGTCTCATAGGCTGAATTACTTGACCGTTCTGCGGCATTTTCTAAAGATGTTGCAGTTATTTAACACAATAAAAATATATTATTACTAAAACCCTCTTTTGCGCACACGCGGCCTTTAATATGATTTGTAGTACTGAATGCATGTATCTAAATGACCATTCATTTTCATAGCAGCAATGTCAATAAAGTTCCTATAGTGTTAAATTCTATCAATACCGCACTTGGTAATAAACACTTTTTACTTGAAATTAACTAACGGTACAGAAAATATAAATAATGTTTGTGAAATATATCAATTAACGATGCATTTGTGAATTAACGATGAATTTGTTTTCTAATTTTTCGTTGTTCTAATTGTAGATCTGAAATATGAATTTAATAATATTATAGAGTATAATTTGACACTTGGCTGTCCGGGATGGGCCGCGTCGCAGTCGATCGAGCTGACGTTTCGGCTATCGTGTTGTGGCCTTCTTCAGAGCTACACTGCTGAATGAAGTATAGCTATGAAGAAGGCCACAATACGATGGCCGAAACGTCATTTCGATCGAATGAACGCGGCTCATCCCGAACAGCTAAGTATCAAATGGCTCCGGCGTCGGAAGCCTTTTACAAGCAAATTTTCATGGGGAAAAATCGAAAGAGTTTCTGAGAAAATGCAATTTCAGCGTTTCTGGAAATGCGCAATGTTGAGCAAACTTTTTCACAGAAAAGTTTTGAATTTTCGACAATTATTTTAGGCATTTAATGCAAAACTAAATAATGCACTAATACTCACTATTTCAAAAAATATATTATTGTACAGATTTAAAATTTAAAATATTTTACTCAAATGGCATTTATATCGTGACATTTAGCTCTAATCCATCAAAACGTTTTAAGACCCAAGAATAAGCAAATCGATTTCGCACACGCAGCGTGCTCTGTGGACCTTCGTCAAGAACTGAGGGAGCTGGGATGTGCAAACGTGACAAGGGTAGGGAAACTTCCGTGAAAATGTGTGAATTGTCCACAGTAAACATGTAGAACATACAGATTTTAGTCAATATGCATTTAAACTAAAACGGTTTAATTTGAATGATTATAAAACAATTGGCATTCTTACAAAAAATGAAAACAACACTTTACGTCCATGATCTTGGCTGTCCGCGTGACGCCGCGTCGAAGGCTGTGTTACCGAAGTTTCGACCATCTTGTCGAGGTCTTCGTCAGGGCTGGTATGCGGAGGTCAGCCCGGCATACCAGCTCTGAGGAAGACCACAACAAGATGATCGAAACGTCGGCAACACAGCCTTCGATGCGGCGTCACCCGGACAGCCAAGATCATGCACATGACTATGGCCGCGGAAGCCTACGACTTCATTCAAGTTTATGTCCGTCTCGGGATGAACGTCCACTTCCCTTTAAATCGCGAGGGAATTTCATGCTCCTTTCAAGGCCACAGCAGACAGTGTAGATCCGCAGTGCCTCGCTGGGTTCATCGACGGGGCCACGCGGACCAACCTGCGTCATATTTCGTGAACCCCTCCGCATTAGTTGGGTGACCCACCGCCATCTGAACCATGGAGTCGCCACCGAGCACAGGGTTTTGCGCCGCGCCGTGTGGCCGGCCGGGCTGCCTGCGCCGCCAAATGCCGCCGCACAGCGCTCCAAGGCCGGCCGCTTGGCCGCCGAGGGGCCGACGCAGGGTATCCCGCGCCCGCCTTCAATACACGCCCCTCCAACTTCAAACTTTCGCTCGTTTAAGTAGAGATTTACGGAGGAAATAGTCACTTTAGGCACACAAACATGTTCCTCTTAATATTACCAATAGATAATCCATTTACCGTTTTTTCTCAGAAAAATTGATTCTCGTAAATAGTGTTTTGTGTTGTTGTTATAGATGTATTCGTTCTCCAATTTCGTTCCAATTTCGTTTCCAATTTTCGTTCCAATAGCCTCTTTGTCACCTCTATGTCATGACATTTTGTGCGCATTTCCAAGACTCGAGAAAACAATTATTGCATTCACTTACACGTGGGGAATGAAATTCCTACAGCTGACTGGCGAACTTGGGTGCGATCGCAGGACAGCTACCAACACACGATGTCATAATATGCACTCTAATTCTGTCAATTTTTTTATTCGCGTTTTTTGTAGTTTTATCCTAAATGTTTTTCCTCCTTTTTTTTCTTCGTCAATACTTAAAAGTACGTTTAGTGCTTTGAGTCACTTTAAACACAACGTTGTTGACGCTGTAGAAGAGAAATCGTCAAGAAATGCCAGAGCAAAAACTGAGCGTTTCTTAGCAAAATGACATACAGAATAATTGAAAAGAAGTCAGTGGCGTGTTTTTCCGTCATTTGTAGATTTTAAGATTCTATTAAAATGAAGTTTCTATAACTTCCAAAGAAGGTTCTATTCCCCCATTCTACTGCAGAGCATAGATACAAAAAACAGCATTTCAATATGCACTTTAAATGTCCCTGTCAAATTTGAGTAGGACCTACTAATTTAAAAAAATTCAAATAATGTAAACGTGTTTTTCCTCTCAAAAGTTCCTTGGTTCAATTTTAATGACCAAATTTATTAAGAACTTTCCATTGTAACATTAAAAACTTGGATACCTAAATTTTCGCACATTTTTGTATTAATCTTTCTTCGTGTTCAGCAAGTAAGACCAAGTAATAATCAAGAGAAAAACGCTTATCCACTTTATACAATTAAAAACCGTTTATGATAATGGATTATTACATCCTGTCTGATATGTTTTTACTATTTTTATCCAATTACAAAGAAAATATTTAAAAGATAATCATAATTTACTACATATTTCATAAAAATTTATTTTCATATTCCTAAAATGATTAAGCTTACTCATGTGTTACTGTAAATTATTGAATATTTCAAACAGTTGCGTATTATCCAAATGTAACACTATTGCATATAAAAATACATGCATGCACCACTTTAAAGGCTTATAATAATTGTTCATAAATTATTTAAAAAATTAAATGTATAATTATTACTGGAAAAATTATACCCCTGGATTCTTCTATTATTTTCTTCATTTGTGAATAATAAAAGAAGTAAGATTCCTTTTAGTTGCTGAGTAATCAGCACTTAAACTTCAAAAAATCATTACCCAAAACAAGTGTAAGGTATATCTTTGACTATCATATTTTAATTTTTCCGAGATACCAGCTAATTCGCCGGAATGAAGATATAAAACTACACAGTTTCTGGCATATATGCTCTTAATGGATTATCATTTCTTAATTAACAACTCGGTAAACGTGATCTTAATAATCATTTCAGTAAACTTCACAATGTTGTAGCGCTGTTTCACG